GCTGAACCGATGGATCTAGAGGAGCGTAACGTTCCTTACGAAATCCGTCCATTAAATGGGATTTCGTAGCCGAGTTTCGTACTTGCGAAAGGTTATCGCGGCGATCATCGTCGAGGGTTTTTCGTGTGATGCGCCCGATGCCGCAGTGCGGTAAACGTAACAGGGTTCGCGTCAAACAGTTTTCGATAAAGGGCTCGACGAATCCTTGCGACACGCTTCAAAGCAAACAAAAAACAAAAAAAGCTCGCAACACAGCGCACACAAAAAGCTTGCCCCTCGATCATCCCTGGTACCATGTACGCGACAGAAGTTGAACGACACTCACTCGGTGTTCAGAAAAGATGCAATAAGGAGCAATCTGTCCACGCACATGTGCAACGCTCTCCCTACTAGCCGGCAGAGTACAGACAGTTTCTACCTTATCGATTGTCTCGATACACTACCCCCACCAGAGGGGTAACCGCAGTCACTCGTTACATACGGATACAGGGAGAGGGTGCGTTGTAATGATACAGATAGCTTTTATATGAACTTACCGTTGACTCTCATCCTAAGATTTTAATTTATTCAGTGTACGCACACTGCGAACACGTGATGTAACTGTTTTTGTACATATGTAATTCTTCTTCTTTTGTAATGAGAAATAAATAACTTAAATAAACTTAATAAATAACTTAAGGAACCTGTAAGTTTCGCCGTGTGACTTTACGCATTCTTCTAAGCTATGGGATGTGTATTCCGTGAACTGAATCCTGAATATAGAATGTTACTTGGTACTTATATCGGACATTATAAAGAATTCCTGAACAAAATTAAAATCTGAATCGTTGTAAGAATATTTTACAACATATTGTTAATGAGATGCTAAGTATTATCAAACTGATGATACAGTCTCTTGAAAATTATAATCCAGTACTTATCATATTTTTATATTCTACGTTTTCTGACTACATATGTTGCATAGTCTATGACTTTATCTCAATAAAATGATTATAAATAAATTATTTTTAAATGTAACGAGAAATTTTGACCAAATGAAGTCATATTACTATTTTTCCTAAGTAACCTATACAACTGAGAGGAAATTAATATTTCAAATAGTAGTGCAAAAAATAGCACATAATTTATGTGGTGTACCAGTATGCTTACAACGTCGGTGACCAGATCTGCAGAGTGTACTACCATGCTTACAGTCATCAGTGGGTTAACGATCAATTCCATTTTGTACATCTTCCATAAACTGACAGAACAGATTGAAATCATATTATTCATTGTTTCTACTTTTTGGTACAGTTCTGACCCTTTATTTCAATTATTCATGTACAATGATGAAAACCTGAGTGTATATCCTAAAGACGAAAGCAACAATTAATAGAGTTGCAATCTAAGCTGAAACCATTGTCTCTTTCATAGTCTCTTCTTTTTGTTTTTGTCTTCTAAGAAGTCTACGTTCTCTTTCATACTCTTTCATTCTCAATACATAACTGAAGAAAGAAGCAAAATTATAAACAGTTGAAAATACAAAGAATACATATATGTGAATGTTAGCATAAAAATACTTACTCATCTCTAACACACTCCGCATACTTATGTTGCACACCCTTGCATTTCATAAGATTAGGCATGTGCTTTCTTTGACATACCAAGCAATCTATATACTTGTCAGCACAATAGTCCCGAAATCTTGGTGGTACTTTAGCAGCTCTCAGTTCTTCGTCTGTTACCGGCATAACTACAAAGTAAAATCCATAATTAGAATGATTACTATTAGTTGAATTTAAGATTAAAATTCTATTTAAAAATAAGTTAAATTATACATTTTAATTTAATTGAGGTCCAACTAACAGTAACAGTCTTTGCTAACATTTTCTTTGAAAATCGAAGTGGTACGACTAGAGAATTATGTCACTCAATCATGGTTAGATCGATCAAGAAACTTACCTCTTTCTTTACGACCATTAGCAAATCCAAGCATTGGATCAAATGTCGGAGGCATGCAAGACTCTGGATAATCACTCCAATTTCCCAATGGTCGTACTACGTTACCCATTTTTATTCAAACGTAGGAAAAAGTTATCGTAGAAACAATAACATCTAACCCAAAACGATAGGTAGCTGAGCTCGCCTCCCCTGATACTGACACCCCTGACCCCTAGCGGCTGTAACTTATGTAATATATTTTAAACACAATTTATGCTGATGCATAGAAGAATAGTTACCGATTTACCGGAACAAAATTCGAGATGAAATTTAGGTGTAAAAATATTTGTTGCTATAAACATTAGTTTATTTTTTTTATTTGAACACCACGTCTTAAGTGATTTGAACAACATAAACATCACATGCAATTAAGTACACATACGAGTTTTCATAATAAATAACAATTGCTAAAGATGTGCATATGTGTGAATATATAATCGTTCATTAAGTGTTAAAAAAATAAATATGCAGTTGTTAAATAAATAGAATTAGTAGAAAATAATTGAATAATGATCGATAGCAACGTGATCTGTAATCCCTAATCGGAAAATCGTAGTTGTAACTTTTCACCGGCTTCCCGTACAACTCTTTCTTTGCCAAGCTCCTTCAAGAAAGCGAAACAAGATTCAGTAGACGTTAATTAACAATACACGTGAGTATTAACAGACAGACCGAAAACTTAATTCTTATTACATTTACAATATAACATTTCTGTAAATGAACATTTTAAAGTAGGAGAAAAAATATATACATAACATATTTTGAAGAAAATTTTTATTGAAATGTCACTGAAATAAACATACGCATATATTAAAAACTTTAGGTATCTTTAGTCGCTTCCAGGCAATTAGGTATTTCAATTATTTTATTCTTAGAAACCAAATTATTATCCAATAACGATGAAGTTGTGTAGTGAATGGTTTCTTATGAGCTTAACAAACTGTTCTCAATTTCATCAGACATATCACTCAATACTTACAATAATACAAAAGATTGTACTTGTGAACTTAAATTTGAGAATAATGTATCAAATATTTAATCGTCTTCTTCTTCCATTGCTTCAGGTATTGTGTTTCCTAAAACATTATTTATAATAATGAATTATCATATACGTTTATTCTTGAATACTATAAATAAAAGAAAATGCATTAACACTGCAAATATTCTGACAAACCATTTTGTAATCTTTCTTCGCTAGGCATGTGTCCAGCTTGAAGCAATTTACTAAGACGTTGTACTTCTTCCAGGGAAGTAGCATTTGTAATAGCTTCCCTAATTTTATTACGCTCCTCTGGAGTTGTCAGAGGTTTATCTGTAAATGTACCAGAAGCTTGTGTTTTTGCTTTTTTAGCAATCTCACGAACCATTTCTTTTCCTCTTTTACTCCTAAAGTATGTAACAGCAGCCTCACGTTCCTTCATTCTAATTTTCCTAAAATCTAACAGCCTTAGTTGTGGAAACCTGTATACAACATATTGCCTATACTGAGGTTTTGCAGAAACTGGATTTTGCAGTAGGCAGAGATTTGTCAAGTTTTTTAGCTGGGTCAATGGTTCTAAGTCACCAAGTTCTTGAATCATATTTCCAGTTAACATCAAAGTCTCCAAGTTTGGTATAGAATGCTCTAATCCTTCACCAATTCTAACAATACGATTATTATTGAAGAAAAGTGTTTTGATTCGTTTTAATAGAGGAAATCCATCCAATTTTCTGATGTCATTGTCTGAGAAGTCTATTGTGTCAAATTGATCCTGAAAAATGTGGTTAATATGCAACATTTTTATCTTATCTTCGATAATCAAACTGACATAAAAAAATAATGAGACTATAGAACGAAAATATTATAATACAAACATATATGTATCATGAAGACGAATGACTTTACAAACTATCATAAACATACATAAAGGTTACTCGTAACCTAAAATATGTAAACAACATCCCAAGTAGTATAGAAAATAAGTATTTATCAATTGAAAAATACGCACCAAAGTTGCACCTAAGTTTTCAATTGTAGGTATTTTATATCCTGTAACGAAAAGGAATTTAAAAAGTAGAAAAACGTTAAAGAATCGAGTAGTAACAGGTGACAGTGTTTAGGTTAAATCTATACGATATACTTTTTTTACACACCTCTAAGGTCCAATTCACGATCCTTTACAGGATTTATATACTGCATCGATTGTTGTATTAGATCTGGCGTTAACTTAACCATTTTTAATAATATTGATAGTTACATACACTATACAGATTAATCTAGCGTGCTGAAGTAATCACAACCAATCGCAACAATCAACTTAGAAGTTACATTTTTAATGTTGGTAAATGTTGATGTTTATGATGCAGTTCAGTGCTGCTAACGTAATAAGAATATTTAAAAGTTAAGTAATTATACAGTTTAACGGCTTTACTCTATTTTAGCTGTTTCTTTGCGTTTTTTAATAGCTTCGTTCATTTCATCACTAATGAAATAACTAAAATTGAGAAAACCGTTAAAATGCATAATTACCACAATTCCTAGAGCACATTTACAGCGAATATTTCAAACATTCGAAAGATTGTGGAACTGAAGCGATACTTGGGGGTTATTATTTAAAATCTGAATAAGTAACATTTGTCGTTTATTGTTACATTGTTTAAAATTTCAATGGTATACATATGAGCTACTGAAAGTTAATATGTACGTATGGAATAATTGCAATAAAAAATACGTTTCTGCATAACTTGTATACAAATAGATAACTAACACTCTCCAACTTTAGCGTAGGACTTCGCTTCGTGTTTAAAATTGAGCTCGTTTAAGCCTACTTTAATGGAAAGTAAATGTAATAGGGAATAAATGATAATGCATCCGTGACTCTTTTAAAACAGAAATGTTTCATTGAACAAGGTTAAACATTGACGACGCCGCGAATATTCGCAAAAGGAAATAATGAAAGACTCCGACGCACATATAATACAACTACATACACACTACTACTCAGTTATCATTAACGTTTCTTTTTCGCAACAGCCGGTAACTTTTTTCACCGACTTAAGAACAAATATAAATCCTTCGGTTACGAGAAATAATAAGACCAGTTGCCGTCGATAATCGGTGAAAATACAAGGCGGGTTTGTGTTTTTCCGTACACAGCACTCTGGATAATAACGGCGGCAAGTGTTGTGTCGTTTAAAAATTGTTGTGTTACTCAACAGCTTCCCGCCAATTTCGTACGTACTTCGTACAAAATCGAAGAGACCCTCCCGGTCGAAGGATCGCATTAATTGCTACCAATGCGTCACGTTGTCGCAAAATAGAAAGCAACGAAGCGAACTCGCTGGACAATATTTGCCAGGGATAGGAGAAAAACACCGTTCTCTCAATGGACCGTTCGAGTGATCGATAGGTGTAAACGTTTTAAGCCGGTTACGAAACTACGTGATAAAAAACAGACAAAAACACTATCCTGGTCGAGATCCGGTTTTTTCGATTTGTCCCGACGCGACTAGCCGTTTGCGCCAACTGAATCGCGGGAAAATGGAGAAAATTATGTGCGTGTGTATGTACAGCATCCGACACTGTTAAGTAGACTACTAACGTTCGGAAAGTGTCCAGATTAGTATTGCACCAACTATCCCCTTTTCCAAATCAGTTCGTTACTAGTTCGTAATATTGATAAAATACCGAGGACTCCCTGATGAAACCTATATTTCGGTCCAGAATCGTCAGATGTTAGAACTTCTAATTTCGGTGCCAAGTGCTGTTCTCATAAATTGAATGATATGGCTACTACTTGCTATTAAAACCACGTACAATCACTTACTAAAGGTCGGTTATAAAGAGTTACATAACGGAGTAGGAAGAGCTAGTCGAAAATATACTCACAAAGCAAGAACATTACCTATGTAAAAGGGGTACCTTATAAAAAGGGTCTAAAGTCACTGAAAACATATAACGAAGTATACGTATTATTAAAAGTTAAAAAAAAAACAAGATGTCAAAGTTCAAAGACGTCGTCAAAAAACTGTTTACTCGAATAACGGGGCATAGGAAAGCTCTACTGTCGTTGCATAAATCTTTAGGAGTTCATCATGGACTGGATCGATTGTAACAATAGTCGAGACTAATCGATAGAACGTGACGAATTAATTCACGCGCGACGGTGCGTTCAAACGATTACGTGATCAATTAGCAAGTCAAACGCGAGTCGTTTTGCATGTTGAACAGCGGAGGCAAGTAAATGCTTTCGTTTCGGTGCATCAATAAAAATAAGGATCACGATTTACGTATCTCTTGTTCGATGGTTAAATAAGCATTGTCACAGTAACAAAACGACACGCGTTACCGATCGTTTGCGCTCGAAACTAACGTTTCTAATCTTGGATAATGAGACAACAACGTCTTGAGAGTGTCGAGTGAACCCAATGAACACGTCGAAACAGTCTAACCCAGTGGTCTAATTGATGTTTTCCAATACGCAAGGCAAAGTACGTGAAACCATTACGACCATCCGTGTCCAGTTAAATAATATAATCGAAGGAATGACGCTGTCTAATCGCAGCTTGTGCGGGTTTGACACTTTCCCCGAACAGTCTTTACAGACTAACGATCATCTAGCTACAATATGTAGTTACTCGTGTCGTGTTACGAAGAAAGAGTTTGGAAGTGGTTAGCGAGAAACGACTATAAACCCGATGAGTGTTACTGTTTTTCCGTTTTTACGAGCACGAAGTCTGCTTAAACGTACAACAGGGTTTCATTAACAGTACGATTAAAAAATTTAAGCCAGACAGAAGGTTTTTCTTGCTCATACACATCATTTTAATAATAATTTGTAGTAATAGATAGGGCCTGTTGGATACACGTGTAATGTACCATCAAAAGCTATGATTTTTCCAGAAATCCGGATGTCAATCCTACCGACTTTGTATCAGTTTCTTTAATAATTACACGAACAACGCGTTCGTAATTTTCTTCCCATGGTATTCCAGTAACGAGAGCTCCTTCACTACAGCTACAGATATCGAAACATTTATTTCAGACAGCCTATCTATACATATGTATACATATGGTAATTCAAATGAGAAACTCAGGAATCACCGTGACGTCACTACAGCCAAAAACAGTCGTATTTCACGTGAATCGCAAACACGAAATACACTAAAGTCTTTTAACATTGCAAAAGATTTTTAAAGAAAAAGAAAATCGGAGAACGAACGAGATGAGTGAATTTGATAATATTACCCGTTGCTGAGTGGATGGTCTTTTCGGATCTCGTATCGTGTCACCTATCTGTCCTTCCATTTTGTAGATTCCTAAAATCATTTATGTAAATAGGGACACGGACGCACGGCTTGCATACTCCACGACAAAAAAGTAAGACGTGTCGATTAGTTAGAAGCCACGATTTAAATGTAAATAAATTATTTGAACGTCCGCAACAAGGTGTCCAAGTGTTACGTACATAGCGAAGCTGCGAATAGACGGAAGAAATATACATTTGGGTGGACGGTTTTTACCCTGAAGTAGAAATTGCAAACATTTCAACCATGAATTCCCTGACGTACGAAGAGAGATCGTGACGTCCCGTGATCGAGATCCGCGAACAAATTATTGTCAGACGAAAACTGGTTCTGTTTATGATATGCGGAACATCGTGTTGCGTGATTTGCGTTCTTTGTTCGCATGTATAATCACACTGAAATCATTCTGATCGATGTGTCGCGACGTCTGGAAAATTCACCGATGACGTTCGATTGTTCCGACAATAAGTACTCGCGAATTATACGCAACGCTCGCACATTATAAGCCTATATCTAGATAAAAAGCAATGACAAGTCCGTTATGTCTATTAGCTTTAAACATTGATGTAATGAACATAGATCAATTAACCCATAACAGCCTCTCGTGAGTCTGTGTTGAATCGCGTCACGAGACGTTTCGGAATTTCTTTAATCCAAAACGATCACCATTGAGATGATCCTATGGTTGTTGCTCATGCGATATTTTGAGGCACTCTCGTAAATTCTTTGGTAATTACAAACTTTGACATCATCGATACGAATAATGTCCATTGTATACCATCAATGAGTTGAATTGGGAGTTATTGTCCCATATAACGTGTCTGGGCTGAAAAAATGAATGAGAAGATGTATAAAAGGTTATACCTTGAATAGACTGTCTTTTTAGGTCTTATAGAATTGAATGAAAGAACTACTGGACTAACTGTATGGATGCAGGAGGATCATTCATATGTATTCGGGTACATCATAAATAACTTCTGTTTTGTCAAATTTGTCTCTGTAGCATTTATGAATTATTATTTATCTGGAATTGGTTGTATACTTGTTTTCTCGTCGTCACCTACGACAGAAGGTTGTTTATGACTCAATCTAAAACAGAAATGTAAATGGAAGGGAAGGATAGGAATGTTATAAGAAAATTCTAATTGTTTTACATTCCGTATTTTTCTAGTGTGATCTCATGGCAGCATTTGGGAACTTCCGAAGGCTATCAATACGATACGTATTTAGTTCCATTCATAGATCCCTGCTTGGTCGATGCACCTTTCGCAGATTCAGATTCATCCACGTTCTACATAGAAAAATTAGGCGATTTTAGGGGGAGACCGTAAAAGCGAATTAATGTCTCCAGCTTGAAACAAGCTTATTTCACCAAATTGTGTCGGACTTTTTTTCCCGTCGAGTGCATCAATGGAAATGCATATTACGGGTACCCGTGGCTCTCGCCTTGATAGGTATTTTTCAAGTTTTGACGTCATCGAATGCAAAATCAGTCAGTCTAAGGTCTACTAACGTCATTCGTGTATGTCAATTTCCTTCTATTTTTTGCCTGAAAATCTGTTAAACTTGTGTATATCCGCCCCTTTATTAACACCAGAACTACCAACGTAGTCAGAGTGACTCCTTGGATCTTTTCAAATCGTTCTTAGCAGTGCACGTTCTGAAATTCTAAGGAATTTTCAATACAATATGTAAATTACGAAGTTACTTAATTCATTAATTTGTATTTTTCGAAAATCTTGAAAAAATTGTTAAAAGCTTTGGTGGATACAGGTACAATTAATCGTCGGTAATTCTGAAATGTCACCTTTCAGAATATGTCTAGGAGGAGTGAGGGCACTTCGATGCAACAGGGCACAACGAAACACCAATAGTATCTCGATATCGATAAACATTTAAAAGTTCCAAACATAACCACAAGATGAGATCGCTGATATGCCATCCTATGGTCATGCTTTGAACGCTTAAATGTTCTTAGATATCGAGATACT